TCAGGGTCTCTTACTGGGACCTGGATCTCACCAATTAGAATAGGCTGCCTGGCCAGCTGGGGCTGGAGAGATGGCTCAACGGTTAAGAGCACTGACTGCTCTTCCAGAGGACCTGGGTTCAATTTCCAGCACCCACATGGCGGTTATGAACCGTCCTTAACTCCAGTTTCAGCGGAATACAAAGACCTCCACAGCATGGCACAAGAGGGTGCACTCACATATGTGCAGGTGATACACTCATACACAAAAAATAAAATATTAAAAAAATTAAAAAGTAAAAAAATTTAAAAAAGTCATTTACCACCAGTCTTTGTATCCGACCTAATATCCTTTCTATGATCAGATGAAACCTTCGTATTGTATTAACTTAGCAGACCACTAGCCTCCACAAACTCAAAAGCCAAGAATGTCATCAGAGAACACCTGAAACCCATAGCAGAGTTCTCCCTGCTTTGTTTAACCAGCCCATATGATGTCCCACCAATGTATTTGGTAATCATTGGTTTATAACTGTTCTTTTTCCAGTTTATAACTGGTTTATAACTGTTCTTTTTACAAAAGGTCACACAACTTCTTCTGGGCTGGAATATATCATTCAGGGAAACCTGAATCTGTGATCCCAAGCCACCAGCACTCACATTTATCTCAGAAAAAACTATCTTTCATTCCCCTTTGGGGGGGGCTCTCCTTAACATCTCAGGGGCAGATGGGCCCCACTGTGGCCCAGAGCCATTCCAAAGGATGTCCATTTTATTCAAAATGTATAATTGACTCACTCCAGAGATATCTGCTCTGCCTCTAAAACTTTACCACCAGGCTGGAGCTATAACTCAGAGGTACAGCACTTGCCTAAGCATACGCAGGGCTCTATGTTCAACCCCAGCACCACACCAACAAAACAAAACAAAACAAGCCGCACCATTCTAAGAGAATACCTGAACATGCTCTTTCCCCAAGAATGCAGTGCCCTGTCCTTCCCTGTCTGTTCTTCCCTCTGCAGGCTGCTCATTTTCTTGTATTCCACAATCCTTACCCCACCTATGCTGGTTGATTTTTAAGTTGATTAAATTAATAAACTCTTAGGGCATTAGTGAGGAACACTTTTGGATCTGTGAGAGCATTACCAATGAAGATAAGGACCCATTCTGAATGTGACTAGCACCATCCCATGGGCTGGGGTCCAGGAATGAATGAAAGGGGGTGGGGGACAGGGGACAGGTGCTGAGTACCAGCACTCATCTTCCTGCTTCCCAACTGCAGGTGCAATGTGACCCTCTTGCCACAATATGTTCCCTGCCTTGATGGACTATACCCTCATACCTTGAACCAAAATAAAGTTTTCCTCCCTTAAGTTGTTTCTTGTCTAATATTTGGCGACAATGATGAGAAAATAAGACAGCACCCAAGGTCAAGGCCAAGAGCAGCTGCCAATGCTCTCCTTATTCCCACACTGCTCCTCACCACAAGCCTTCTGCAGCTCATGCTGGGTACCTTCTCCATGCCTCCTCACTGCTGTTTCCTGCTGACAACCCTGTCATACTTCTGATTCCTTGAACACTGGAGAACCTGATTCTGTAGCTTCCTTTCCAGAGTGTCTCTCTAATCTAGGTGACCTGGAGATCCTGGTGGTTCTTATATATATTATTGCCAATGTCTCCTTCCACTCCATGGCCTCTCCAGCCTGCCATTAGGCAAAAACACACACCTCCCTAAACAGCACCCTATATATTTCAGGCTCATCCACTTCTTACCATCCCTGTTTCTTTAGCCTCTTGGAATTTAAAAGTTTCTTGACATTCTGTCTAGTCTTGGTCTTATTTCCTTATTCACCATCTATGGCCTACCTCTTCAATACCTTACTTACCACAATATCCAAATGTTCTCTCCCACTCTCCATTCACGAGCAAAAATGCAACCACCTACTATTTTTTGTATCAGGCCTCGGCATGTGAGCACACTGCTGCAAGAGAAACAAAATCCAGCAAATAGAGTGACACACACATTACAGCAGGACCCTCAACACTGCCAAGGAACCTCAATACTTCATCATTCTATATCAGTTATTTAAATGCCTGTAGAAATTTTGGAAGACTTCTAAGCCCCACTTCAAAACCTTCCTTTCATTCCTACCAGAGGATCTTGTCATCTAGTTCTAGAGAAAACTGCAGTTATAGGCAAAGAATCTCTTAAACTTCCTGCCACAAACAAGCTTCCTTTCCTTGTTCTAGGAACAAAAGAAAAAGTATGCCCTCCACTCAGAGGCCAATCCATACATGTGTGCTCAGCATGGCATCTCCTTACACCTTCCCAGTAGCTCCTATCCCAGTGGTAACTCTCCAATCCTCAGCCCAATATCTACTTCTTGGCCAATCCTGTCCATTTGGCACTTTATGGCACTTACACCCTGATCCTTTACTAAAAGCATACAAACCAGACACGGTAATGCACACCTATAATTCCAGCACTCGAGATGCTGAGGCTAGCGGATCATGAATGATTTCTAGGCCAGTCTGGGCTACACAGTGAGTTTGAAGTCAACAAGAATGGAGAAAGCAGAACAATAAGTCACCAATGATTATTTCTGGTTACTGAGCTTATAGGTATTCTTTTATTATTTTAGTTTACTTTCATTTTCTAATTATCCTATAATAGATTACTTACATCTAATAAAAATTAAGCTCCTATTACAAAAAAAAAGTATAGCACATGGTGAAGTGTCTAATAATTAGCTATTATTGTGTTGTGACTTTCTAAAAGCCTGCAGAAAAAAGAGCCAGCTCGGCTACACAGCTCTGCCACACACAGAGCCCTGAAGACCTCTGCTGTTCTCCCTACTGCAAAGGGAAGACATGGATGTAGGATTTGATGGAGTGCTCTTTATCCACATCCCCTCTGGGCCTTCAGCTCATTTCAGCTCAGGTGAAAAGAGATCTGTACTTTGTCATCAAGAATCTGAATGAGGACAGAGAAATCAGAGCCTCAAAATGATCAAGCAAGCAATTAGCACCTCATCTTCTGACCATTAACTCTGTCTGAGGATCTCAATGGAAATGCAAGTCTCAGGATAGAATCAGGTGTGGATCCTGAGGATGTCCTCCCTCTCATTCCCAGACATCCCTCCCTACCCTGTAACACAGCTTTCAAAAAAGCACTCCAAACACAGCATCAAAATGTTAAACCTGGTCCACTTTTAGAAGCAGGGTAAGTAGGCAACTCTGGTGAGGAACCAGGAGTGCAAGAAGAGAGATAAAGTAAAAATTCAACAAGTTCAGCTTCAGGTGAACATCAGCACCCAGTGAAAATCTAGGACTAGAACCTGGAAAAGTCAGGTACAGGAAATAATCCTAGGAGAGAGAAGAGAGAAATAAGAACAGAAAGGGAAAGGGGTAGGCAAGGAAGGAAAGGAGCGAGGTCTGGGGAAGACTGGGAAATCACGCAGGTACATCCAACAGTGAGTCAGGATTCACTTTAGCAGGGGGAGAGTACGGGAAAGGGGGGAAGTAGTAAACTTCAGGGAAAGGAAACAAATAGAGGTGAAAATTGTCACAGCAGGCAAGTACTGCTGTGCCAGCAAAGCAGTCATTTTGTCACCTGGCTGTTTACAGTACCAATTCAAGAAAAACAGGTTTTGTATTTTACTGCCTACAGGTGAAAATTAAGTTCACCTCTAAAAAACCTAAACAAATGACAAGAATTTCTGAAAATATGCACATCACCCTATGACCTTAGAGGAATTCATACATGTATGAGTGCCTACCTAGGGTGGTATGGGGCATGTATGGACAAACCTTCAAGTGTGAGCCAGGTGCAGAAATGACAAGGGAGTGGCTTACAAAAACTGAGAAAGGCTTAAATGTCCACAGGAAAAAAAGATATTGTATAAAGCACTGCATAATTAGGTAGAGGCTAGCCAGGTGTGGCGGCACACACCTTTAGTCCTTTGACTCAGGAGGCAGAGGCAGGCAGATCTCTGTGAGTTCAAGGCCAGCCAGGTCTACATAGTGAGTTCCAGGACAGCTGGGGCTGCAGAGAGACCCTGCCTCAAAAAGTCCAAAATAATAATAAAATAATAATAATAATAATAATAATAATAATAATTAGGTGGAGGCTAAAAGAATAGGCTAATTACAGTCAGACAGATATGGAAGTAGCATCAAAAACACTGTTATGTGGAAGGGGAAGCGAGGAAGCATCTGGTGAGAGTTAAATAACATACAAACATGTATTCTAACTGCTCACGTGTGCACATAAATGAAAAAGAAAAGGAAAAAAGATACATGCTAAATTTCAACAATGGTTGCTTTTGGTGTGAAGGCCATCCAAGGGATGGAGGATGGGGGCGGGTACTCAGTTCTCTACTCTGTGTCTGGTCTTTGGAATTGTTTATTTTTTATGATGCCATATTTTACTGAACTTGTAATTTTTAAAAAACACAGTATTTTCATCCAATAAAAGATGAAACAAAACTTGAATGCATTTCATTTTGTTTCCCATTCCAAAGAACTTAAAAACAGGTACAGAACCTACTAAATTTTCACTATTAGAAAAAAATTTCAGGGCTGGAGAGATGGCTCTGTAGTTAAGAACACTGGCTGCTTTTGCAATTAAATCTCAGTGCCCTGCCCTCTACCTGCCTGGCACACAGCAGAAAGTCACCAGGCATCAGTTTCAGCTCTTGTCTCATCTTCAACTCCAATTAGGCCAAATTAAAACCTAAGAGACTCAGGTTGGTGCAATGGGAAGAATAATGCAGCATGAACATGGTGGAGCACAGACACAGTACAGAGAGGAATGTTCATTTAAAAGGCCAGCCACCATTCCTCCCTTATTATAAGAATAAAAACCTATTTTATGTATATAATCCTTTAAACTCTCAATACAACTACTCTCTCCCATAACTGTAATAAAGGTAGCCAGAGGAAGGGAGAAAGCAAAGACACAGGGCGGGTCCCAATCCCCCAAGAGCATCAACCCTGACACTACCAAACAAAAGGACCCACCTTGGTGGTAACCCTATACGTGATGTAGGTTTCCATTGTACAGACGTGTTTCTTGGGATCATCTACCGTGACAAAAAGATCTCTGGTTTCACCATCAATGTCATCGTCAAGCTGAAGTCTATTCAGAAGCGAAGATGAAGAAGCTGGACTCGAAGTGCCTGCTGGAGTACCACCATTGGGCAAAATGAGATCCTGAAAGAAGGAAAGATGGCCTTACAAATCAAATGAACACACACAACAGAGAACTTCAGCAACTGCAGTTGGTTTAGCCAAACTAAGAAACATATCTAAAAGTAACTTTCAAAACGCCCTTGCCTCTCTTTACTCAGTGTTTCTTGAGTGAGCAGGTCTTTGTGTACGTGTGTATGAGAGTAGGTCTTTTATGATAAAGAAAAACAAAGCATCATTCTAGGCCAGCTCCATGCTGATTCATCTTCCAGCAAGCACCTGCAGAACCAGGGAACAGAGGATGTAACTGACCTACCATGATCAAACTTAGAGAAAGAACTCCATGAGTGCATCATAAACTCCTTCAGAAGACCACCACCTGGGCCGAGGCTTGCATGAACTACACAACACTTAAAAATTCAGTTAGTGGGGCTGAAGGGATTGTTCAGCTTGTTACCAAGCCTGACAAACTGAGTGGAGGTTTGAATGGGAAATGTTCCCTATAGCTCAAGAATTTGAACATTCTGTACCCCAGTTGGTGGCACTGTTTGGGGAGGTCATGTAATCTTTAGGAGATACAGCCTGCTACAGAAAGTGTATCACTGGGGGTGGGCTTTGAGAGTTCAAAGCCTCTCTCTACTTTCAGTTTGCTCTCTCTGCTTCATGTTTATGCTTGCAGAGGTGAGCTCTCAGCTTCCTGCTCCAGCTGCCATGCCTCCCCTCTATGACGGAGTCCTCTCTCTGGAACCATAAGCAAAGATAAGCTCTTTCATAAACTGCTTTTGGTCAAGATGTTTTATTACAGAAACAAAAAGTAACTAATAGAACCTGAGTTCCAACACTAAAAATTAGTGTAAAGAGACAACTAAAAGTTATGTGTCTCCTACAAGAGGGTTACACTACCACCCATAAAACACACTTGCTTCCCCCAAATTGAATTTGAATCTTGAACAAGCCTCTGGACACATCGTTAGCTTATAGAATACAAAGGGGCAAGCAAGATGAATCAGAGGGTAAAGGCGCTTGCCACCAAGCTTGATGACCTAAGTTCAATCCCTAGGTTCCACATGGTAGAAGGAGAGCTCCAACTCCTGTAAGTTCTTTTCTGACTCCACATGTGTGCTCTGGAATGCACATACCCTCCCCCACATTCCAATACACAAATAAATAAAAGTAATTACAATAAAAAGCAGAATACCTGGTGCATTGAGGACATGTTAAATGATACTATGAGGATGCAATTAGCAAAATGCACATTACATGTAACTAAAGAGAGCCAAAGACCCAACTTCTTTAACAAATAAACTGCAAGGAAAAAAGAGAGGTGGAAGAAGCACCTATGACATAAAGAACAAGAAATCTATCACCAGTTGCAATAAAACTAAATGTTCATAGAAAAGGGCCTGTAAGGGGCCAGAGTATAGCTCAGTGATAGAGCACTCACCTAGCACATGCAAGGCTCTGGGTTCAATCCTTAATTCCTCAAAAAAAATTAAGATATTCAGAGAAATTATAATATTGACAAGTGTAGCTGTTAAGGAATCATTAGGTGTGACAACAGAAGTGCTATGATTTATAAACCCTCCATTTAAAAATGTATATTAAAACACTTATGGGGGCTGAGCCATCACTCAGTGGTTAAGAGCACTGGCTGCTCTTGTAGAGGACCTAGGTTCCATTCCCAACACCCACATGGAGGCTATCGAATGTCTATTAACTCCAGTTTCAGGGGATCCAACGCACTCTTCTGGCTTCTGTGGGCACTGTAGTACATAGGTGCACTTATATACATGCAGGCAAGGCACTCATAAAATTTTCAAAAAATAAAAGAAAAATATTTATGTATAAGGGCTGGGAAGATGGCACAGTCAGTAACGGGTCTGCCACCCAAGCATAAGGACCTGAGTTTGGATCCCCAGCGCCCACGTAAAAAGCTGGATGTAGCATGGGGCCTGCTGGCCAGCCAGTATAGCCAATCAGCTTCAGGTTCAGTGAGAAACCCAGTCTCAAAAATTAAGTAGAGGGTCAACAAGATGTATCAGTGGGTAAAGGTGCTTGCCACACAAGCCCGAAGACCCATGAAAAGGTAAAAGGAGAATCAACTCACTCCACAAAGCCTCCACATGCACAGCGACACTCACGTACCCACACACTACATCATACATAATAAATTAAAATGTTCAAAATAAAGTAAAAATTAATAAAGAAGATACCTGATGTTGACCTCTGGCCCACATACATACACATGCACAGACATACACACACATATAAAATATTTATAGATGAACTAAGATGCTTGATATGTGCTTGGGGATATATGTGATGCAAGATGCCAAGTGTTGATAACTATTAGGGCTGGTGCTTGCTAGTCCATCATACAATCTGTCCTCTTGTATATATATAATGGGGGGGGGTCTGAGACAGGGTCTCCCTGTAGTCCCAGCTGGCTTGAAACTTGCTATGTAGACCAGGCTGGCCTCTGCCTCCCAAGTGCTGGGACTAAAGGCATGTGCCACCATACCCAGCACCTTTGTAGATAATTTAAATTTTCTACAATAAAAAAAAGTTTAGAGAAGAGGCTGTTAGAACAGGAAATGCCAGGAAATTGAAAGAAAGGAAAGATTACCAAACTATAGTTCTCATTCTCTTTAGGCCTTAGGATTAAGGCCTAAAGCTACCTGGATAAATTATGTGTCAATAATTTATTACAAATATAATATCCAAAAAAAGGGCCATGAAATCTGAAAAGCTCAGTTTCCTGTTTCTTTCTTGGTCTTAGGACTTGATGACAGGACAGAGCACTATCAGCACAAGATGGGAAGACCTCTAGTGCTACCTTGAAATTACTGCAGGACAAACTAAGGAATATGGCAAGACAGTGACAAGATGCCAAGGAAAAGGCACTGGTGGCTTGACCCAGGTCACAGGTTGGGGACAAGGAAGTGCTTTCCCTAGATTCTCTCTTCTTGGAGCTCTGCAGGTTGGATATGACCTGTCCACAGGTGAGAAACAGAAAACTAGAAGTCAATGCAGCAATCACATTCATGAGCTACAGCTGATCAGTTGACGCCCGAGTAAAGGCAGGGTATAAGGCAGAAGACAGTACAGGCTGGGTCAAGGGCAATATCAGCCTACTTTGTGGGTGTCAGAAAGTACACAGGAAGGGTACTCTCCTTTGTCGCCCATCCACACTGACCATAGATCATCTAATCATGTACCTATGCAATGTCAAAATTACAAGGTTTTTTTTTTGTTTTTGTTTTTTTTTTTTTTCACTGAAAGGGAACCATCTTTACAGAAGGCACTTACGGGAACAGATTCCCAAGCTGTACTATGTTTCTATCTCAGGGATGCCTCTGACTCTAGGGCAGTGTGAGTAATGGTCAGCTGAAGCATCACACCCTTGGCAGCTGCTCTTGGTGTGGACATGAAGGCAGGGCCTTGCTACAGCAGCAGCTGCCTATACCACAGGGCATGCACAGAGTGACACAGTGTCTGGGGATCTGGCAGGAGATATCATCTCTGCAACTTAGAGAGTCATGTGGCTTTGTCATTTCAGTAAAATTTTAAACACACACCTTCAGGCACACTACTTTCCTAGGCTCTGTATTTATCAACACTGGAGTACTGGTCTCAGAACAGCTCAGTGACTAAACAATGCACAAAAGAAATAAAAATCCTGGTCAGATAAGCCAATAAACTCAAACACTGGTTTTCTTTTTCTTTTTTTAAAGACGGGGTTTCACTATGTAGCTCTGGCTGGCCTGGAACACTCTATGTAGATCAGATCAGCCTCAAACTCAAGAGATCTGCCTGCCTCTACCTCCTGAGAGCTGAGATTAAAGGCATGTACCACCATACATGGAAAACAGTGATTTTCTGGCCTGGCCTGTCCAGTTCTGGAACCTACCATGTTGTCAATACGTCTTGCCTTTGAAAAACTCTCCTTCCTTAAAAAAAAAAAAAATGTCTCTAAAGACGCTCTCTCCTCTTGAGTCTTCCCTGACCCACTGGCTTTTAAATTATTATTCTCCATACTTGGAAGGTACCTGCACTGCCACAGTAGTCAATATTAATCATTGATCTGCACACCTGGTTTATCCATAAATACAGTAAGTCCCCGGGAACTACAACTGTGTCTGGCTCGTGTGTGTGTGTGTGTGTGTGTGTGTGTGTGTGTGTGTGTGTGCCTGTCTGTCTGTCTGTCTGTCTGTCTGTGTCTGTGTGTGTGCTTGTGCACTGTGTGAATGTATGTAATTATCTACCTTCCATCTCTCTTCAGGTCTACAGAGACAAGTCAACTCCCTTAAGCTTTACCCTGAGGACCTCAGCCAGTAATTTCCAGGAATAGCCCACATACAATCTTTAATGTCCTGGCCAGTAAGGAGTGGAGACTGTCGATCAAATCTGGTCACACACTACAGATTCTTTCCTCTTGGGACTACACAAACAGGAAAATGCTTGCACCTGTCACTCCAGGGTGTCTCCTGGAGTAGTAGAGTATGGAAGAACAGCTGATGAGCCTCAAATGCCTGAGCAGTGAGGCTGCCACCCCATCATGGCCTCACAAGATCAGCAGGTCAGACACAACCTCTATCCTGGAGGAAGGAGACTGAAAAGATGACCTAACTTGCCCACAAGTAACAGAGTCTTTGCTGACTGAATCAGGTTTCTGGGTCCTATGCAGGTCAGAGTTTCTTACTGAGCTGAATCCCCTTTGTGGAGCTTTTCCAGTACTGACACTGTCCCTCATCTCCATTCTCTAGCCATAAACTCTTCTTGGTAAACATGAAGCTTCTGTTTTCTAAGTCAATCAGGAAAAGTCGGATTTTTTTTTTCTTTGGGGTCTTAATATAAAGTTATCACAAAACAACTCCCAAGATATTGACCCATGAGAAATAAACGGTGGAAAAACACGAAAGCTTAGAATGGGGAACGGTTAGGTGACCAAATGGCCCAGGCTCCTCTGCCTAGTGAAGGCCTCAGCAATGGGGTTTGCTGAACTGAAACCTGGGCTCTCCAGC